GCAGCAATGCTGTTTGAAGGCTGCAAGACACAAGCAAGCAGCACTACTGAAACAGATACCAGCCCTGTGTCAGGTACTCTTAAGTTTCTTTTTTCATTTCTGTAGTCCCAACCTGCAGAATGAAAAAGATATTCCCTTGCCTACCTCACAACTCCAGTGCCACCTCATGTAGATGCTGCTGTCTGGAACTATACCCCATCTACACCTACAATTTGGCAAGTTTCACTGTTGGTTCAAGAAAAAAGTCTTCTTGAGAAATTTCAGTTTAGGAGGGAATATTATTGGGGATAATAAGGCCTAAAAGGAGTTAGAATACAAACTCAATTTAAAAAGTTTTAAACAGCTAGGTCTAATTCAAAAAATGAGGATTCAGTCTGGAGTCAAGAAGGCAACGTGAGCCAGCTATCACTATCTTAGATAACAGTGTCTCTGAGCAAGCAGGAGACCACAGAAATGCAGGGAGACTTGGCTGGGTCTAGTCCATCTGCAAGGCTCTGCACAGCTGCTTTGTAGAGCACTGGAGAAATTCAAGTTTCACAGTCCCAGACAACTCCACATGGACACACAAGCTCTCCCCCATGCCAAAATTGTACACAAGTATTTCCTGGTTATCCCTATGCAGGCAGAGTCTCGGGCCCAGCAGTATAAGATGGGTTGGTCTGTTCTTGATCTTGAAAAGCTACTGTCCAAAAACGCCTCATCCGATGATGTATTTATCCCTTAAGGACCTGAAAATAAACCAGAGCAAAGGGGCCTCTAGTCCGGAATCCTACTGCCTACAGCGGCCAACAGAAGATGTCTAGACAGGAATGAGAAAGCAGAGCAAGCAGGCAATGATTCATTCAACGTATTCATTCAATACTGTGGCTCAGGAACTTGCAGCTCATGGGAAATCCCAAAGAAGCTCAAGAAGTTCCAAGGAATTTTTTATCTTAAACAAAGAAGCACACTCAGATTTGGTCTTACCCACATGAGCCAGCTTGTAACAAAGACATTATTCCATACACACTCAACAAAGAAGAGGTTCCTAACAGGATAAACATAAAAGTGATGTCTTTTTCTGGGAGTTGATCTCTTCCATGTCCTAAGGTAATCTAGACAACAACAGATTTCTCAGACAACAGATTCTGAGTGAGCCAGACCAAATGCTACCCAGATGACCCTGGACTGAAACAAGGCACATGAACACTTCCATCAAAAAGAAGAAGCCTGACTCCAAGTTGCTGCAGCAACCAAACATCTAACCAAGGTACTGATCACAGAAGGAAAGACTGTTCCACATAGCTTGGATTCAGTAGTAACAAATGTGTGTGACCCATGGCAAAAAAAACAAATTGTACAAGTCATGCAGGAGAAAAGCTCCATCAGATTCAGCAGCCAGACTGAAGGTTCCTTCTCTCAGTATTTCTTTTTTTTTGGTCATGACAGTGTTGAAGAGCCATATTCTGACCTATCTCGTGGAATACAGATGCACATAAGTCTCTGGCTGAAGTTTCAACAGCAAAGGTACTAGCCAGACGGCCAGAGATGCAAATAGTTTTAGACGGCTTCTGAAGGGTAAGGCGAAGCAAGGACACTGCTCTGGCACCTTGAAACAGTGGCAAATGCTCAGAATTGCAGCTGACACTGTAGAGAGACACTAGGAAGCAAGTGGAAACACGCAAGAATAAACAATTAGGTTGTGTTTCACGTTGTCCAATGCAAGATCTACAGAGAATATGGATAAGGCAATTAGTGCATAAGGACAGACTTTTTGACTCCGATGGCTCTGCCCATCTCAACCTCAGGGCTACATTCGTTTTTAAGCAGTTCTAGACAGCAGGAAAAAAACAGAACAAAACAAATAAACAAAAAACAAACTCTTTAATTTAAGCTCTAACACGTAATACCATGTGAAAGGCAGTACTGTACCAAAAGTATATGAAGAATCAACACATATCAAAGAATAAAATTACTTTTGTGAAAATATGGGAATTAAAAGAGGCAGGTAAGATGAACAAGAAGTTGGGAGCAAGAGACTGAGCTGTCCCTTATAGCTATTTAGACCTGACCTGAACTGAGCTTTGAGCAAGACGCGAAACATCTACTCAGAGTCAACACTCTTGAGTGAAACTAAACGTTGTGATAGTCACCAATAGCACATTTGGGCAATATGCTTAGCAAAATTCAAATGCAAGGGAAAAGTCCACGTTCTGTGATATGACCTGCAGAGGCAGGTTTTCATCCAACAAATAAGAAGCACAAGGAAATGACCATGGGTATCTGTAACTCCCATCTCAAGAGGTAGAAATCTCATAATACTTCTCTGGAGTGTTTGTGAAAATGGTAAACCTCACTCCAAACTAGTAAGAGTCATGGAGTTTCATCCAGTAATGAAACCCACAGCCAGCTGAAAGACTAAATAAACAATTCCAGCTTCAAGGACTGAAGTCCAGAATTTGTGTCACTGCTAAAACCAGGAAAAAAGCTAGTGACCCCTTACTGAGATAAACAGAAGAATATCCAAGAGGAGAACACCACAGTTAACTTTTTGACTGTTATGTTTGCAACAGAAGGCAACAAGAATACTTACTAGTTCTTTGCATCTTTTATGCTTTTTCCTCACTTCATGTTCAAGGTTTTCACATTTTTTGCGCTTTTTTTTGAGTTCAATTTCCTGCACAAAAGAAGCACACATTCGTCAGTGAACCCATGTTCATACAATGTACAAGAAATTCAAGCATGGCTTCTCTGACCCAATGCCACACAAGCTTTTGCCATTTTCTTCAGAAAATTGCTTTGGGACAAACACAAGGAGTTTTTTAAATCCAAGGAGAGTTTTAAAAAGGCAATAAAACCAAAAAAATTTCAAGTGCTACAGCACTCCCTTTCTTCTCTCCTCTGACCCCTTCAATGTTTGGAAACTGTCCTCTGTTTCCTATTTGCACAAATTGTTCCCATTTGCACATAGAAGAAGGATGAGATGTGGGGGGAAAAACAGTGACAGAGCTGTGCAAAATACCCAGCTTGAGACATTAGCTGTGCTATCTGAACTCTTATTCTAATTCAAATGACATCTAACTGGAGAGCAGACACCCTCTGGTTAAGTACCTTTATTTCTATTTACTTGCTACCGTTCTTGGTT